AGTAGCTTTGGGGCTCCTCCTTCGGGGGTCACTGACATCTCCCAGGTAGTTGGAGCTGCGAAAGGAGAGATGAGATGAAAAATAGTCTATTTTGAAGCTAACAGGGCATGTCCTGCCTGTCTGACTGTGGAAACCGCTCTCTAATCACCAGAGACTGACGGCTTTCCCCGCCCTCCCCTCCCCTTCGCCTAGCCTTTCTTTCATCGCAGCAGCTGTTCCTGCAGCCGCTGCTCAGGAATAAAAGCAGCCTTGCAGATGCGGCTTGACGCGCGCCTGTCTGCCGGGCTGGCAGTGGGGCCCCAGCTGCTGCTATTGGGGTATCTTGGGGTGGCTGCCAGGCCTCCTAGGCCTTGCTTGGGTTGGGGGCTGCTGCCTGGCCCCACCCCTCTCTCTTCCTGTCCTCCTTGGCCGGGCAGCCCGTGTGGCACTCGGGATCCACTGACCTAGTTCCCAGGTGCCTGTCACAAGCTTGGCCGGGCTCCAGCCAGACAGAAGCCACAGATGTGTGGGTCTGGCCCTCTGAGCCCCCTGCCCTGCCCACTGGCTGCCCCCCACCTCCCTCCCTCCTTGTTTGTCCTCAGCCAGGCCAGAAAGGTGCCATCTGGCTCAGCCGCTTTCAAGCAGGGCTTTGTCCCTGGCTGAGGATGGTGTGCTCAGCAGGCCCCTTGCACGAGGAGGAAGCAGCCTGGGGCACTTTGCTGTGCTGTTTGACTAGCGAGCAGTGCCAGAAGCAGGCAGAAGCAAGTGACAGGGCTGCTGCACTGGGAGCTTCCTCCCATGCTGTCCTCAGATCAGGGTCTGTCCTCCAAGGACAATGCTATCTCTGGCCACCTGGGGCTCAGGGTTGAGCTCCTTGCCTGCCCATCTCCCTCCCTTCCCTGTGGGGAAAGCCCAGGTCACGGGGAGCCTGAGTAGGCAAGAGCCCTTCTGGGAGTCCAGAGGCCGTGCCCAGCAGCTTGTGGCCTGCCTGGCGTTTATTGGGAGCGCTGCTCTGGTTCTGGGGGCCTTTGCGCAGGAGTGTTTCCTTTCCTGTCCTCTTCATACGCTTGGTGCCCATGTTAGCCTGGCCCTCTACTAGGCAAGTGAGGGGTGGGAAGGAGAATCCAGCAAGCCCCCCCCTCCCCCCCCCGGAAAATTGCTCTGTGGACACTAGCATAGGAGGAGGTGGAAATGGGGTGACCCTGGTGGCACAGCTGCTGTGTGCAAGACCCTCGCCCATACTAATGCTTTACTCCCACTTACGTCTGTGCAGCAGACCCCACCGCACTGTGAGCTGGTGCTGTGGTGGGCACATTTGACAGGTGGGGAAACTGAGGCACAGGGCAGTTTTAGGACTCGTCCAGGGTCTCCAGGACCAGACAAGAGCTCGTCTCCTGAGGCCAAGCAGGAATCCACTAAGCTGTCAACACAGGCAGCTAGAGGACCCTGAGGCTGGGTGCCAGCCCCTCACCATAAGATTCCAGGGGGTGGGACTCTGGGTTTCCTGCCTGATGCAAGGAATCCATGCACGTGTGCGTCCCACCCCAGAGACTGCCAAGTGGATACCCCTCCTAGGAAGGTCAGGTCAGAGGTCAGGAACCCCGGAGGACCCCGCCAAGAGTGGAGGGCCCGGGCTAAGCACACAAGAAGAGAATAGATGTTGCTACTCATTAAAAATTCCACTCAGCAGCCCATCTTCTTCAGTTAATTGTCGCTGGCTGTCTTGCGGAGAGCGGAGGGCGCATGTCAGGGCAGCACACCTGCTGGGGCCCGCCCACCTGCGACAGCTGTCTCTGCTGCTGTGAAGATGGTCGGGTGCCAGGCAGGTCACCACAGTGACCCATCCCCTCGCCGCCCACACGGGGAGTTACATCAACTGGGGGCATAGCCAGTGGCTCCTCACAGGAAGCCAAGCAGCAGTGCCTGCTCAGAGAAGAGCCGGTGGGCTGGGGGCACAAGTGCAGGCTCCTGCAGGGCGAGTCTCAGCCTTGGCGCCTGCAGCACCCACAGTGTCCACGTGTCCAGGGCTCACTCCCACCAGTTCCAGGTGGAGACAGAACTGTGCCCTTGTTTTCCCGGTGAGCCAGTAATCTGGGGGGGAAGGCTCCTCTGCCCAGAGAGGAAGAGAGGATCCCCCCCAAGACGGGTTTCAGTCCAGGCCTGTCAGTCATCAGGACCTGTGTCTCCCCATCTTAGCCTCCTATCTCCCATGCCACATGCGCTACACATTTTTGGTAGAAAATCTCAAGGAAAGGACATTTCCAGGACCTGAACTAAGTCCAGAGCCCTTCTGTGAGCCGGGAGGAACACTGGGCCCCACCCTGGTTGGCAGTGGTCTGAGCTGACCTGTTGCTGTCATCTGCCTCTGAGCCTGGCCTGGGTTCCCCCAGCCCTGACCCCTGCACTCTGTCCCCAGCAGGACGCCAGCTCAAGGGGCAGCAGCAGTGGTCGGGAACGCCTCATCGTGGAGCCCCCACTGCCCCAGGAGAAGGCAGGAGCCCCAGCCATTCCCTCCCACCTGCTCAGCACCCCCTATCCCTTCGGCATCTCTCCCAGCTCAGTGGTGCAGGATTCCCGCTTCCCACCACTCAAGTAAGTCTCCAGGTGGGGGCTTGGGTGTGGGGCAGGGCTGAGGGTGGGCACGTGTGCTTGGAGCCTGGGTCCGTGAGACAGGCTCTGGCTGACCATGCCTGGGCAGCCTGGAGTCTGCAGCAGATGAGTCTGAGAGCCTGCCAGATGGTGTCTGGCCCAGCCCCAAGGGTTGTGGCCCTGTCTGTGCCTGCCATGCACTCACATGCTGAGAGGATCGCTCACCCTCCAACCCTGCTTTACTCCCAGCCTTGGTTCTGGGTACCAGGAGTCTCTCTCAGCTGCAGGTAGCAGCCCACGCCCACTGGTGACAGTGAGGGGCTGGGCAAGCCTAAGAAGCAGTAGCTGCCCCCTCTGTGTGCTGGGCCTCCCATCAGGGCCATATCTGACTAGCCAGAGGTAGGGCCTGTTCCCATGGGAGGTGGAGGCAGGGGCAGCTGTGCCCTGCCCTCCTGACTGAGCTGCAGAGGGGAGGCGTGGGTGAGTCAGCCCCTCTCCCAGCCTGGAACAGCCTCTCCACTCATCTGTCTCTTCCTCACCTGCCTTTCTACCTGCAGCCTCCAGCGGCCGGTGCACCATGTGGTGCCCCCCAGTACAGTGACTGAGGACTACCTGAGAAGCTTCCGGCCCTACCACACCACTGAGGACCTCCGCATGTCCTCCCTGCCCCCCCTTGGCCTGGACCCAGCCACCGCTGCTGCCTACTACCACCCCAGCTACCTGGCCCCACACCCCTTCCCCCACCCTGCCTTCAGGTGAGACTCTCCCCACGCGACCTCTCGTCCGGGTGCTCATCTGTTTGTGGCAAAACGGAACCTGGTGGGGAAGGTTCTCAGAACTTGGATGCCAGACTCCAGGGAAAGCCAGGAGCAGCCCTGAACGTTCCCCAACTTTGAGCCCAAATTTATCCCAGTGGCCCATCAGGCGCTTCCTCCTGGTAGGAAGTTGTCTGTGTTGTCTGAGCTGCTGTCCCCACTCCTCCCTAGCCATTGACAGCCCCGCAGGCAGCAGTAACTGCTGATAACGCAGAGTGCATGACTTGTGTGTGGAGGAAGCTCCTTGGCCATGTGAGGGAGGGCCTGTGGAGATGCAGGCCACGTCCTGTTCTCTAGGGAAGCTCCCAGAATCCTAGCTGCTGGACCTGCAGTCACAACATGGACTGCCTCAGACCCAGGCTGCTGGTCACACCAGAAGGGCTGCTGTGCTCGGCCAGTCTGGCTGGGTTGAGCCGGGTGGTAGGCAGGGCCTCAGGGCCCTGCGGCTCCTGCTTGTTGGCTTCTTGCAGTAGATGTAGCCTTTACCTGCGGCTGTCTTGCCATGTTGAGTGTGATTAGGCAGGTATATGTACCTGTTGACAGGGCTGGGACTTAATACCATTTTTTTGGTAGCTTGTGCTCACCAGGCTCCTTCTGTCTTCTCTGCACAGAATGGATGACTCCTACTGCCTGTCGGCACTGCGGTCCCCGTTCTACCCAATCCCTACCCCTGGCTCCCTGCCCCCGCTGCACCCATCAGCTATGCACCTCCACCTCTCCGGGGTTCGCTACCCCCCCGAGCTCTCCCATTCATCCCTGGCGGCGCTACACTCTGAGCGGATGTCCAGCCTCAGTGCAGAGAGGTAAGCTGAGTCCTGGGCTGGGACTAGGGGCTGTTCAGCCATTCTCTGTGTGGCTGGGGGGCTCCTCAGCCGCTCCTGCCCTCGGTTTCTCCACCTGCCACACGGCATGGTGATACTTCCTGCTTCGAACTCTTGAGCATTGCCTGGCTTGGCAGCTATCTGCTTTTGTCAGCAGCGTCAGTCACTCTCAGTGGCGCTTGGGGGTTTTGTGTGCAACTTGACTGTGTGGACTAAGGAGCACCTTGCCAATCTCCCTCCACTGTTCCCATTAGAATCCTGGGCCCGTGCCAGCCCTCATTTCTGGGAACTCACTGTAATGGCTGTCCTGTGTCCTCCTCTTGGACCTGTCACAGCAAAGTTCCCAAACTCTTCGCACTTGCCCCACAGGCTGCAGATGGATGAGGAGCTGAGGCGGGAGAGGGAGCGTGAGCGTGAACGGGAGGCCGACCGAGAGCGGGAGAAGGAGCGTGAGCGGGAAAAGGAACGTGAGCGGGAGAAGGAACTGGAACGGGAGCGGGAGAAGGAGCGGGAGCTGGAGCGCCAGCGGGAACAGCGGGCCCGGGAGAAGGAGCTGCTGGCTGCCAAGGCACTGGAGCCTACCTTCCTGCCTGTGGCTGAGCTGCATGGGCTGCGTGGCCACACCACTGAGGAGCGGGTCAAGCCCTCGGAGCAGCTGACCCCAACCCGAGCAGGTACGTGGCTGGGCCCAACCAGAGGGAGAGCCTTACAGTATGCAGTGGGGCTACGGGCAGGGGCGTGCTGGTGCGTGTGTGACAAGCAGCTCTCCAAGGAGGAACCCTGGTTCTATAGCACCTGCCAGTTTCTGTGGTGTAAACACTCCCACTGTGGCTGATGTCAAGCTACTGATGTGATGTCACTGAACACAGAGTTGGGAGGAGATACACAAGGGGTACAGGGTACAGATACGTCAGACATAGCTGACCCCAAGAACAGGAACAAGACTAAAATGCACCCAAAAGATTGGGAAGGCATGAGTTTGAGTGCTTTTTAACTTTGTTTTTAATGGAGTTTATTTCATTGCAAGTTTGTATAACCTATCTTTTAATAATGGCTGTATTTAACAATGGGCTTGGTAATTCCTGAAATTTTAACAGTCTGCTCTTTGGGGCCAGTGAGAACCTACCTAAGCACTATCTGGTGGGCCAGTCCTCAGCTGGTTAGGAGCAGTGGCAGCCAGCCACAGTGCCTTGCTCTCTGGGGACAAGAA